GAGCAAATTAAACTGTCTCCACATATATCCTATCACATTTGTAGCCCCGATTCCTCTCCTTAACACGTGGCCGAGACACCGTATTATCTGCCTGCGGAGGTTGACCTCAGGATATTAGATTCTGCCACATAGCTCTCTTGTACTAAACCGAGGGGAAACACTTAATCACCCCTGCCTTTTCAGGAAAAAATCAACTTTAAATTTGCCATGATGAAAAATCAATAAACCAGTAATTGCTTGGCTTATCATTGCGCGGAGGAACAAATTGGGAAGCGAAGCTTAGCGTCCACACAGATTTCAGTGAAACACAGAGTTTCAGGATCACTAAGCCAGAAAAGGGAAAGGTCTCCGAGTGATAATTAAATCTACTCATGCTGATTTTCTGCCAAATTTATTTCCCCAGAGTATATAAAAATGTTTCCCTGCTTACCAGCTAGGCATAACTAATCAATTCAACACTGGGCCAGCACGCATGAGAAACACAAAATGCAAATTGGGGATTGAAGGCGTGGGGATAGCAGCAGCCCCAGAGCAGGCAGCACAGCCACACTGATTGATGGATTGATTCCAAAGGAACAAACCTCGCTCAGCTGCATGTATACAACCTGGGCTTGTTCTCAGCGCCTCGCAGGGCCTCCTCCTCCTTGCAATTGCAGGACGTGCTCTATGGCACCTGTGTTTCACACGGGCATCACCTTCTAAATGCTGTTCTGCACGATGCTCTCACACAGATGATCCCGAAGCCGCGTGGGGACGTGGTGCCACGTGCTGGGATGACTGCTCCAGGGATGCGTCCCCCTCCCACAGCATTGCTCTCATTGCACATCTCAGTTCCCTGAATGGGCTGGGCAGGAAAAGCCCTCAAGGCCCTGGTGCTGTGTTCAGACAGCCCCAAACAGAAGGAAGGAAGCAAAAACAAAGCAGAAAAAGAAAAAGCCCTCCGTTGAAAATACTCTTGCAAAAGTAGTGCATTCTTTATTAATAGACCTAATTTCATGCAGCGAATTAGCATAGCTCCAATGGAAGTGCAAATGCAATCAAACTGAAAAATTCAAATGAGAAGGAGGGAGCCTTTCCCTTTCTTTCTTTGCTTTTTTGTCACAAAAATGATTTTTGCGCGTGTCCTTCAACTGGCTATAGGGACTATGGTAATTAAAGCACTGAAAGCAGCACAAGCCCCCAGCCTCTAATCTGGAGCTCGGGTCAGCTGTCTGTAGATTCTAATTTGTCCTCTATTTGTATTCATGACAGCAGAACGCTGCATATTGAGCAGCAAAGCAGCGGGAGGGTGCGGCGGTGGGCTTGGAGGTCACATAATTTGATTTCTGAGCAGATTACATGTAACATCCAACATCTAATCTCACACCTGATTTGGCAATAAAATTATAATAAAAGTGATGTTGGGACACCCTCGTGATGGGGTGAGGATGCAGAGGCAGTGTGATGAGCAGAGGAACAGCTGCTGGTCTGCACGTGGCGATGCTTCCTGTGGCTCCAGAGCAGAGCTGGCGGCTGCTGCAGGTGCGCTGGCAGCCCCACGTGTTTGTTAAGGGATAGAACGGAGAGTTCTGGGATGCTAAACCAGGGAGATGGTAATTTTGGTTTCATACAAAACAACACTTTGTTGATGATTCTGGGGATATTTGAGGCAACTCTAGCTTGAGCAGACAGAAAGGGCCAGAAGGCAGCAGCTCCCCACTGCAGGGCGGCTGTGAGCGACCCATCCGTGCAGGATCTGCACCACTCCATCAATAGGATTTCCACCCGCAGGGCTGGGGATGATGATACACCTGTAAAAGGGAGGATTCTCAGGCAGAGAATCACTGGGATCAATTGAGCCCAAAACAAAACCACTGTGTGAACTCCATGATCAGACACAGAATTTTTCACTTCTTTTCCATTTCCGCAATAGAAATGAATTTACCAAAAATACAGAAAATTGTTCTCTGCAAAGCAGAAAACAAAACAGAATGAAACCTACTGCCTGCAAAGCACACCCAGCATAGAAATGGAGCCACGCAGAACTGGTGCTCCCTACGCTGTGTTGGGATCACGTGGCATGGGAAGCTTCCACGGGCTTGGTATGCCAACACACTTGTTAAACAATTTCATAAGCTACTCATTTTCCACTGAAAATAAAACATTTTGTTCTTAATTAGTAGCCAGCCTTGCAGACAAATTGATAGACTTTGTTCAATGAGCTTCTCTTCAGGACGCATCTCTATTCATGTCAGAACAACACAGCAGCCTCACGACTTTTTCAAAGGCACCACAGGACAGTTCTTCTGTTGCGTATTAATAAATTTTCCTCCTGCTAACTTACCATTGTTTCTTTCCCCCTAACTGACCATTTTTCCTTTTGCTTTCCCTTACTCAGCCTTCCTAACTACTGCAGGCAAAACAATTGCCAGCAAACGAGTCCCTCACAATGGAAAACCACACACGCCTTTTCCAAAACAGGGGCTACAAATGTGCACCAGAGAAGACCTCGGCACCTCAGCCTGCAGCTGGGAGGCAGCCCCCAGCCTGCCTCTGTCTGGGCATAAACCCTCCTGCTTTGGGGAGGAGT